AATACTTGTCACTTGCGGTAGAAACAAAATGCGTTTTGCGTTGAGTTGTTCGTAAACTGTAACATTATTATACTCAAATAAATTAAATATGAATACCATAAACTTTGATAATTATATTAGAAAAATTGCCAGCAGTTTTAAAAACCTTTGATATTTCGCAAATGACACTGCGTTACACTAAATTGCATAAAATTGCAAGTTTAAGTCAAAATCTGACCAACGCGGCAAAAGCACGCCTTCAAATAAATACAGTCAATCTCAAACTCAAAACGTAAGTAAATTTATAAAAAAGTTACCTGTCGGGCAATCACACTACTGTAGACATAATAGTAATAAATTGTACTTACCAACTGAATTTAGGGACGTGACTTATTTATATAGAAACTTTTACTTGAAAGATGATGAAACGAAAGATTTAGGTGCAGTAAGTTATCAAAAGTTTATAAAACTGAATTTAGGATTTCCCAAAGAAAGATAAATGTGGTCAATTTTTTGAATGATGAAGAAAGAAAAAAACGATAGAATCAGTTGCTATTTTTAAAGCTATTTCTAGAGGATCAAAAAATAACAAAGACAACAGAAACTTTTTATATGCATATATTTAACAACACCTTACAGTCAAAGTGTAAATTTCTACTATACTTATTATAATGAAAGCATTTATGAAAGCGGTACCAGATTTTTTTTTCTTTGGAATGAAACGAAAGATAAATATGTACTATTATCTTTCAATACCTCAAAATGGTTGACGAGAGAAGGACTCAAAATGAAATTGCATTATACTGTGATAGTTGTGCAGACAAAATAAAAATAAAACCATGATTTTAATGCTGTATTATTTCATGCAATATCATGCGAGTTTTGTTGAAAAGCTGACTATAAACTTTCTTATTTCTGGACATACGATATATCAGATGTATGATGCCAATAGATTCTGTGCATGCGACAATAGAAGAATTTGTTCAGAAAAGCAACATTAAGGCACCATCTGAATGGCAAACTTTGATTGGAAATGCTCGGACTAATCCAAAAATATGAGACAATTCTTTTAAAAAATAGAAAATTAAAGACTGGAATTCCTATGCAACAGCCTTCTTACCAAACAAAATTAAAATACAAACAAGCAAGCTGCGTAACGCTAGATTTGATTGAACGATTGAAGGCGACAAATTCTATCTTAAATACGACTATAATGGACCCGAACAAGCTGTTGATGTTCAATCAACAAGCCATTCGTGAACCGAAGACTGCTATCACTGAAAAAAATCCCATTTCGAAGGCAAAATATGAAGATTTAAAGAAAATGTGCTAAAAAGGTGTCATACCAGAAGTATATGCAAAACAATATCTGGATTTGCCCTACGATAAAAACACAAGAGAACGAGACTAATGAAAACAACGACTGAGTTATGTCTTTTTTGGTATTTCATTTTGTTAATAAAGCCAATTCACTTAGAAGTGATTAATGATTAATTTTTTTTTACTTTTTTGTTTCTGACACTTTGTCCGTCTCTGTCTATCACTGTATCTCGTAAATACAATTAAAAAAAACTTCACAAAAAAATATTTCTACTATTTCATGATATATTAGTTAATCGACATACTCATATCAGCTCTACCTAATAACAGTCATCAGTTTTAACGTAAGCGACAAATGTATGTGATTTTAGAGTACTAATACAAATCTTAACATTTGAATTAATAGTAACACTTAGTAGAAATTTGAAATTGATGCTATAAATATTTTGAGAAATATTTAAAAAAACCTTCTCCTGTAAAATATGCAAAATGGCGGTTACGATGTTCTTCCTGAAAAGGCTCGACATAGGCAAATATTATCCGTGCCCTAGGTAGGTAGCCGCAGAGAGGTGGCTGCGACGTTTTATTTCAGTCTAAAACATTTAACGGACGCTGGTTGGACCGGAGAAGGGTTAACGAGAGTGGACAGCGCACTGAAATAAACGCTCTGATGGATGTGCAAGGCCAAGAAGGATATAGCTTCACGCCCACTATAGTTGCCACAAATATTGTAATAACTACTATGTACTGTATATAATATATAACTGTATATAATAACTATTTGGACATACTAGGCTACTAGTATTATGAATGTCCAGAGGGAGACTATGTACAAAAGTCGATTGCTTGGGTACCTCTCTCCCATTCGTGTTTCAACCGTGAAGCAGCTGTGTTTGCATGGCTGTGTTTCGGTTTGAAGGGTGGGATATGGCGTGAATTTACTGGGTACAGAGGAATAACACCTGAGTCCTCAGGAATGGCAACGCATGGGGGGTATCATGGGCGAAACAGTGTACTCTGTTATGTCCATGGTACTGCTCATGTCTACCACGACTGTTACGATTTTCCATCAGGTGGGCCGTCAGCTTGTTTGCCATTCTAAGTTGTATAAAAAAAAAAAACTACCGGCTTAACATACAAGTAATTATAAGATCGTGTAAGCTCGACAAGTTTTGGGACCAACTTGTGATTCTTAATCATGAGCGGCTGTGATGTGAACGCGAGGCTGAGCGCGAGCTGTAGATTGCTTCTCCACATAATTTGTACATTTTTTTAAACAATCCAATGCATATTAAAGTAAAATATATATTTATTTCTCTCACAAAAATAACAACATAATAAAATTTACATTACTATATAGGTTACAATTTAAAACAATCATTGTATATTTTTTCGGTAAACAATCAAATGATTATAAAACGCTATCTGTAATATAGAATGGCAACGCTGATTTTTATAGACCTAATAAATAGGAATAACATCATCTTAAACAATTGTCCGTCATATTTCAACAAATTAACATAAATCAGTATTAAACTAACTATACGTTTATATAAATAAATCTCCCTCTTGAATCAATCTATTTATTTATAAAAACCGCATTGAAATCCGTTGCGTAGTTTAAAAGATCTAAGCGTACAGACGACAGGAAGCGTCTCTGTCATATACTATGTATAGATATCTATGATCCTGTAGAATGAGACAGACGGAGACGTTTGTCTCTTATCCTCATTGTGATGAACGTAATACTCGCCATACGTGCCCACATTTCGCTGAGTGTAATTGAATCCCACGTGAGCAGATGGTAGTCTGCTGTCGTCTCTTGGATTAGTTCAGTCAGGAATACTTCATTGAATAATAAGGTAAAGAATTAGAACTAATAGAGGAAGGATTTCAAGCTAACAAGGAATACGTGTTGGGCTGAGTACATGGAATGATGAATGGATGAAAGAATGAATATACTTGATTTACATTATACAATATGGAGAATAAACAAAATTGTTTATAAATGTAAGGATACAGTTGTATAAGTACAGTTAGGCGGTCTTATTGCTGAGGGCAATCTTTTCAAGACAACATTAGCTAATTGTTGTACAAGTGTGTATGATTACTGTTTCGCCCATGGGGGGTATTCCCATGCGTTGCCATTCCTGAGGACTCAAGTGTTATTCCTCTGTACCCTATAAATTCACTGTCATATCACACCCTTTAAACCGAAACACAGCCATGCAAACAACTGCTTCACAGTAAAATACGAATGGGACAGAGGTGCCAAAGCAAACGACTTTTGTACAGTCTCCCTCTTGTATTGTATTATTGTATAATTAAGAAAGTAAAACATTAAGGAATATAATTACAAGTACTTATATTATCAAATTAAAAAAATAAAATAACTATATACAATATATAAAACTTATACATATAAGTTATATATGTATCTTATATTAGAACAAATATATGTATTTACAGGTACAAGAAAAACTAAAATGATCTGTGTATAAGTAGATTTTGCTCCGCAGCAAGTAGTTTTTTGCTCTGCAAAGAAAAAAATTTACGTCTATCGTAGCAAAAACTAATGTAATGTGTCTAACACGGGAGTTACTTTTTGAAATGGATGATAATGGAATGGTAACCCCGCCTGCGCTATCGGTATACGTAAACGTGGCATCAGTGATTGATGATAGGTGAGGATGAAGCAGGTCAATTGGCCCATCGTGACGAATTCAAAAATAAATCAATCACGATGGTTTCCAGGGGGAACCGCAAAGGCGTCGACTCGATAGGGTATATTACTGGCGATGGGGTTGCTAATCCCCATTATTAATAATCCCTTCTCCTCCCTGAAGTCCGACAAAAGTTCTTTAGAAAAGAAAATTTGGTAGCATGATACGGAAAACCATAATACCATTTTTCTTTTTTTCTTATACAAATTGTTCTTGACTACGAACGGATCTTAGATGAATTAATATGGACGGGTTGCCGCAGTCCAATAGCTTTCGATTGAACGACGTGTGTCGGATCATATAGTATTTTTTTAATTAGATTTGAGTGTTTTGACCATAATCTTACTTAATCTTTAATTGACGACGAAGTCTATGGCGTTACACTCAAACTGAAGTAATGTCTGTTAACTGCAACTTTGAAATACCTATATATATTCCGAATGCTTCTTCTACGGATGGACAATATCCGATATCTATATATTCAGTTCTTCTGGGTATTGATGACCACCCATTGCGATATCACCCATACTATTCGGATATCTATATTCATTACGAGCAGCGGGTCTACCATGAAATGAAATTCCGAAATTTCGGACTCAATTTCGTGTTTTTGTTTATACCAAATATGGAACAATAAATGGAGTTTAACATTTCTTTCGTCATACATCCTAATATAAAAGTCCAAAGAAACAATATTTTAACATTTAACAACTTTAACATTACCCAATTTTTTTCTTAATGGACGATAATGGAATGGTAACCCCGGCGGGGCACCAGTGAGGGATGATAAGTGAAAATGAAAGAGCAGGTCAGTTAGCCCATTGTGATAAATACACTTGGAATTCAGCACGATGGTTTCCAGGGGGGGCCACGTGGAGGTCGACCTGTCAGGGTATATTGCTAGCAATGGGACTGGCAGTCCGCATTACTTATAACCCCCCCCCCCTAAATTACCTAATTGTGTGATAAATTGTTCAGTTTCGACGTGTGGCGCGAGTTCCCCGACCGCATAGTGGGGTTTCCGTCCAGGCTGCACGTGTGGGACAACGTCACCAACTCGTGGCGCTACCACAGCGAGTGGACCAACCAGATCTCTATGGTGAGTGCATTTATTTTGGTTTTATTTATTTAGGACTATTTATAATACAGTATAATACAGTAAGCAACACATTTGAATGAATTTAAATAAAAAAAAAAAAATTATTTGGAAAAGTTGCTTATAGGAAAAAAAAGAGTATATATATATATATATATATATATAATATAAATATAATTTTATTATAAAAAAAATATAAAGAATGTTATTTTATTATGGTGAGCTGTTAGTCCATCGTGATGAATTTCATAAGAATTGACCAAGATGGTTTCCAGTCGGAACCGCGAGGAGGTCGTCCTCGAGAAGGTATGTTATTAGATAAGAGTCCCAATTAATAACAATCCCTTTTTTCCCCAGTCAGATAAGTTGGTCCTTCTTGGAATTAATTATGACGGTATATAGCTGGGTACCGCGTGAAGATCGATTTGACAGGGTATATTGCAATGGGGCCACATGTCCCCAATGCTATTAAAATTGTTATTAAACAATCCCTCGCTCCCCTCATGATAAAGGGTTTTTTTAATGGATGATAATGGAATGGTAACCCCGCCTGCGCTAACGGTATACGCTAGCGGGGCACCAGTGAGGGATAATAGGTGAGAATGAAAAGGCAAGTCAGTTAGCCCATCGTGATGAATACACTTGAAATTCAACATGATGGTTTCCAGGGGGGACCACGTGGAGGTCGACCTAATAGGGCATATCCCTTCCTATCACTTCCAAGATAAAGGGTAATGAACGATAAGTACAACGGTATACAGTAAACAAAAATATTTGATTAAAACTTAGTGGCGTGGACTATAGATTCCCTCGGGATAGGCCACGTCAAAAGTCACTCATGCGTGTAATAAGTTAAGTATTATAGTTGTCAGAAAGTACGAGGAACGGGTGAAGGGCGGATAAGATAGAGCGAGTAAATGTGTACGGTTGAATGTATTTGATATTTGAGATTTAATATTTTTGTTATATATAACTTGTAGTAGTAAATAAGTTGACGAAGCGGGAAAGGGATTGTTAGCAATGGAGTTTGACAGCCCTATTGCTAGCAATATGCCCTATTAGGTCCAGCTCCACGTGGTTCGCCCCGGAAACCATTGTGAACAATTCTTGTTGAATTCGTCGCGATGAGGTAACTGACCTGCTACATCCTCACCTATCATCCTTCACTGGTGTCATGTCGGTGTATACCGGTAGCGCGGGTCGGGTTACCACTCTATTATCACCCACTAAAAAAAAAGTTGACGGCCCTCTTTATAGAAAGTGGTGATCGTCGCCTATAGATATAAAATGCATACAGTTTTAACACAATATATTATGACGTAAGTTCACACATGTGTTTCCAGTACCAACAACTCCAGATGTGAAGACGTCCAATTATTAAAATTGTACAGTAATGTTTGAGAATTCATCTTTTAAACATTATGTTTTAATCACATTATTTCGAATTTTTTTTCAACCGAATTTTAAAAGAACGATGCCATAGTACTCTCCGTGCATCTCGTTCATTTCTACCTTGTACATCTAGATTGGGGTATGAGCTCCCATCTTCAGTTTTCCCTTAACAATATGATAGATTAAAATAATTTTATCTTTTCCAATTTTGTTTAAATATAAAAAAAAATTATTAAAAGACTGTCATCATTGTGTTTTTTTTATTTGATATTTATATGTTGTATTTAACTTATGTATATGGATATATATTCTTATTTATGTAGGTTTATATTCATATATATGTATTAATATATGTATTATTATAATGGTTTATAATTTATGTGAATATTTATTTTAATTTCTATTCTGTACTACTACTGTCCACTCACGACTTCCTATGCCACTGTGTTAGGTTGACTGGAAGAAATCTCTTTTAGAGATAAGTTCGCCTTTGCTAACATTGTTATAAACTTATTGTTGTTACTGTATGTTTTAGTGTAATAAAGAATATGTATATAATATGGGGAATTTAAAAAAAACGTGCCTACAAACATTTAAATGGCTGGTAACGCGCAAGCAACTCCTCTGGTGTTGCAGGTGTTCATGGGTGACGGTAGTCACATTCCATCAGGTGGACCGTATGCTCGTTTGCCTTCCTAATTAAAAAAAAAAAAGTTCTCAATTCGGATGTGTTTTATTTTACGTTTATTATTTCATAACCTCATCAGTTACAAATATATTTGGATAACTCTTTCTTCTCTAAAAATATCAGTACTTTAGTTTTTAAAGTGACCATTTTGGTCGCATATTTTCTAATTAGTTATAAGTTTGTTTTTGTATTTCCTTTCTCTTTAAGTTTATAATTTTTTATATTTTAGTCGTAATTGTTATTAATATGCGGCAAATTTTTTTTTCTTTCTTTCTTAAATTAAAACGTTCTATGTCACATTTGAAGTCTATTACTTTTTATTGTGACACACAATCTTATTTCCTTTTTTCAAAGCGACTTGACATTTTTTTTATTTATTTAAGGCAAACAAACAGCTAAAATAATACATAATTATATACTTAAATAGTAATTTGGTAGCCGCTAGAATTTGCACAAAATAAAATACAAGTAAACGAAACACAAAATTAGACAATACTAAAATTAAACAAAATTAAACACATATAAACAAAATTAAACAAACAAATACTATTGAAAACCACAGCAACATTGTCAATAATAATGCTCAGAAGTTTTACGGAGACCTTTCAATTTGCAGCGAAATCACACGCCCAGACTTGATAGGCATATTCGTCGCATTTATATATGTAAATACTTATAATATATAATTACTTGCATAAATTATAATAAATCTATATCTGTAAGTACTGGCTATCAGTGTGTAATCCACATTTAACAATCGGTTCTCCTTCGTGACGACGAAAATTTGTTTTTAATGATGGCGGACTAGGCTCATTAAATGCTAGGACATTGTAAACAACGTTTACAATGTACGTGAGTGTACTAATAGTGTAAGATCTAGCTGTCGATATCCGTAGACATTAGAATTAACAATGAAACTTTATTTAAACTAACATATAGTTCAAAGGAAACGTATTAATGCAGCTGGATTTTTTAACAAAGTTTGATCACCATTATCTCCAAATGAGTACAGTACAATTAATTTTTGGTGGTGATAAACTAATTCATGTCCAAATTTTTTCTTTATTTAAACAACACGTGTGCGTTGCCATATTCAATTTTAGGCGTTTCCAACCAACTTCCAAAAGAAGGGAGTTCTCAATTTGATTGTATTTTGTTTTGTTTGTTACCTGATAACTAACTCCGTTAGTTTTTTTTTTTTTGGATGGGTGAAAATGGTATGGTATCCCCGCCTGCGCTAACGGGATACGCTGGCGGAGCAGAATCGATTTGGAAAATTCTTATTTCATCTGAAAGGATATACTTACAGATTAGTCCATTAGAAATGTTATCAAAATCGGTTAAGTAGTTTAGTTTTTAAGTCAAAATATTTGGTTTTGCCACAATTGAAGCCGGTTTCTTTGTAAAACACAATTTTGTATTATGACTGGACTAAAATGTACCGAAGATTCGGTCGATGACATACCTAACTATATGTATTATTGTATAACGTACCTTTTGTTTTAGTCAACTGCTTATCTTGCAAAATACAAATGAAATTTACACACCTCAATGTTAAATATCATTGAACATTAGTATTAATTAAATTAAATAAATTAATAAGAACATGCCAACGCTCAGCAGTGGACAGTAGACGCTGATTTTTTTTATACAACTTAGAATGGCAAACAAGCTGACGGCCCACCTGATGGAAAGTGGTAACCGTTGCCTATGGACATGAGCAGTACCATGGACATAACAGAGTATACTGTTTCACCCATGATACCCCCCATGCGTTGCCATTCCTGAGGACTCAGGTGTTATTCCTCTGTACCCAGTAAATGCACGCCATATCCCACCCTTCAAACCGAAACACAGTCATGCAAACACAACTGCTTCACGGTAGAAACACGAATGGGACAGAGGTGCTCAAGCAAACGACTTTTATACAAACTCTCCCTCTGGTAAATAATAATAATTGACGGAGTTATGAGGTAACAAATATAAAAAAAAATACAAACGAATGGAGAACCTTCTGCTTTTTGAAGTAGGTTAAAAAGAGACAAAAAATTTAAAATACGTATATATTTTTTAATTTAGATTCTGATAGTTTTGTTCCCTCGATTTACAGATCCTCCCCCCAAAAGTTGCGAGTTCGAACCCAACAACTGTATGTCAATTTAAATTTTCCACAAACTTTCCGGCGAAAATGGTAAACAATGTTAGCAAACCCAATTAATCCGCGAGAGGCGGTATTACTGTTAATTACGTTGAATTCAAATGTGCTCTGCGAGGCTCAGTACGGCAAGCCGAATTGTTACGTTCGGGGGAGTTGCTAGTTATGGGGACTATTGGGCCCATAGCTAACAACTTTCTCTGTCTGTTTGGCCTCCCCGCTGAACGTCTGGAAGCTCTGGAACCTCTCATTTGATTTCTTTATAGACTGTAATTTACTGATACAACAACAATACAACAGGCCTTTTTTTAATGGGTGAAAATGGCATGGTAAACCCCGTATGTGATATCGGTATGTGTTGCAGAGGCACTATTGAGAGATCACAGATGAGAATGAAAGCAGGTTATTTAGCTCATGTTGACGAATTCCACAAGAATTAAGCACGATAATTTCCAGGGAGAGCCGCAATTGTCTGTTAATTTTTAAAAATAATTTAAGATAATAATTTACCAGAGGGAGACTTTGTACAAAAGTCGTTTGCTTGGGTACCTCTGTCCCATTCGTGTTTCAACCGTAAAGCAGTAGTGTTTGCATGGCTGTGTTTCGGTTTGAAGGGTGGGATATGGCGTGAATTTACTGGGTACAGAGGAATAACACCTGAGTCCTCAGGAATGACAACGCATGGGGGGTATCATGGGCGAAACAGTATACTCATGTATAAACAGTATACTCTGTTATGTCCATGTTACTGCTCATGTCTATAGGCGA